ATTAGAGCAAATGGAAAATGATAATAAGTTGTATCATACTTTGTAATACAATTTTGTTTTTGCTCTCTTTCCTGTGTCTTCAAAGTTGCTCGATATTTTACAGTCTACAGTTACAGCTACTACATTCAGGGTATAGATCTGTTCTTTCGTACGCATGTGTAGTAGAAATTCGTTCCTGTCCCGTAAAACGCCGGGATTTTATCCTTGTGTGTGACTTACATCAATTTACACTTACTACATTCAGTTGCATACATCTTCATTTGTATGCACACGAAAATTTCCTTCTACGTTGAATTATAATATTCATAATTAATCATACACTTGCAAAACTTTTAAAAATAAACAATGTACGCCCTAGAAGAGGGTGAGTAATTTAACATAAAGTAATATTTATTAATACAGAAATTCAAAAGTATTAACATTATAACATAACCTTAATACATTCTTTGTTTATATATTATGTTTTTAATATTTATTTACATATTATACCTTAATAAAATTGAAAAATTTTAATTTACAAATATTTACACCATTATATAGATCAATATGATGATGAAGATGCAGAAGAAATTTCATCAAAACTTTGGCAGGAAGCGTGCTGGATTGTTATTAACGCTTATTTTGATGAAAAGGGTCTTGTACGGCAACAACTTGACAGTTTTGATGAATTCATTGAAATGTCTGTTCAAAGAATTGTAGAAGATTCGCCACAAATTGATCTACAAGCAGAAGCACAGCATACTTCGGGTGAAATAGAAAATCCTGTTAGACATTTGTTAAAGTTTGAACAGATTTATTTATCAAAACCTACACATTGGGAGAAGGATGGAGCACCATCTCCTATGATGCCTAACGAGGCTAGGCTAAGAAATTTGACTTATTCTGCACCATTGTATGTAGATATAACAAAAACAATTGTAAAAGATGGCGAAGATCCAATCGAAACACAGCATCAAAAAACATTCATAGGAAAAATTCCAATCATGTTGAGGTCAAAATATTGTTTGCTTGCTGGCTTATCTGATCGTGATTTAACTGAATTGAATGAATGTCCATTAGATCCTGGTGGTTATTTCATTATTAATGGATCAGAAAAAGTATTAATTGCTCAAGAAAAAATGGCAACAAACACAGTTTATGTATTTAGTATGAAAGATGGTAAATATGCATACAAATCTGAAATTCGGTCATGCTTGGAACATAGTTCTCGTCCTACATCTACATTATGGATTAACATGATGGCTAAGAGTGGAGCCAGTATTAAAAAATCTGCTATAGGACAACGTATTATTGCTATTATTCCATATATCAAGCAAGAAATTCCTATCATGATCGTTTTTCGAGCACTTGGATTTGTAGCAGATCGCGATATTTTGGAACATATTATATATGACTTCGATGATCCTGAAATGATGGAAATGGTGAAACCATCTTTAGATGAGGCTTTTGTGATACAAGAACAGAATGTTGCTTTAAATTTTATTGGTACTAGAGGTGCAAGACCTGGTGTAACAAAAGAGAAGCGTATAAAATATGCAAGAGAAATTTTACAGAAAGAAATGCTTCCACATGTTGGTATAAGTGATTTCTGTGAAACAAAGAAGGCCTACTTTCTTGGTTACATGGTACATAGATTATTATCGGCATCTCTCGGTAGAAGAGAATTGGACGATCGAGATCACTACGGCAACAAACGATTAGATCTTGCTGGTCCATTACTAGCATTTCTATTTAGAGGGCTGTTTAAAAACCTGATGAAAGAAGTGCGATTATATGCACAAAAATTCATAGATAGAGGAAAAGATTTCAATCTTGAACTTGCTATTAAAACTAAAATTATAACTGATGGTTTACGATATTCACTTGCTACTGGTAATTGGGGTGATCAGAAAAAAGCTCACCAAGCTAGAGCAGGTGTATCTCAAGTATTAAACAGACTGACATTTGCATCAACACTTTCACATTTAAGAAGAGTGAATTCTCCCATAGGAAGAGATGGTAAATTAGCAAAACCACGTCAATTACATAATACATTATGGGGTATGTTATGTCCTGCTGAAACACCTGAAGGTGCTGCTGTAGGTTTAGTTAAAAATTTAGCATTAATGGCTTATATTAGTGTCGGATCTCAACCTTCACCAATTCTTGAATTCTTGGAAGAGTGGTCTATGGAAAATCTTGAAGAAATTGCACCAAGTGCAATAGCTGATGCAACCAAAATATTTGTAAATGGTTGCTGGGTTGGTATTCACAGAGATCCTGATCAATTAATGGCTACTTTACGTAAATTAAGACGTCAAATGGACATTATTGTATCAGAAGTGTCTATGATAAGAGATATCAGAGATCGTGAAATCAGAATATATACAGATGCAGGAAGAATTAGTAGGCCACTATTAATTGTAGAAGGACAAAACTTGCTACTAAAGAAGAGACATATTGATATGTTAAAGGAGAGAGACTACAATAATGATGGTTGGCAGGAATTAGTGGGCAGTGGAGTAGTAGAGTATATTGACACCTTAGAGGAAGAGACTGTTATGATTGCCATGTCTCCTGAAGATCTAAGACAAGAAAAGGAATATGCTTATTGTACAACATATACACATTGTGAAATTCATCCTGCCATGATTTTAGGAGTATGTGCCTCAATTATTCCATTTCCTGATCATAATCAAAGTCCAAGAAATACTTATCAAAGTGCTATGGGCAAACAAGCTATGGGCGTGTATATCACAAATTTCCATGTACGAATGGACACTTTAGCTCATGTACTGTATTATCCTCACAAGCCTTTAGTTACAACAAGGTCTATGGAATATCTTAGGTTTCGTGAATTGCCAGCTGGAATTAATAGTATAGTTGCTATATTATGTTACACTGGTTATAATCAAGAAGACAGTGTTATCTTGAATGCTAGCGCTGTTGAAAGAGGTTTCTTCAGATCTGTATTTTATAGATCATACAAAGATTCGGAGTCTAAAAGGATAGGTGACCAAGAAGAACAATTTGAAAAACCAACACGACAGACATGTCAAGGAATGCGCAATGCTATATATGATAAATTGGATGATGACGGAATTATTGCTCCAGGAATTCGTGTCTCTGGAGATGACGTAGTTATAGGGAAAACCATTACTTTACCGGAAGCAGATGATGAAGTATGTATTGCAATATAATAGATTAACACTTACAATGTATGCTGAATTTTAATTATTTTTTCAGTTGGATAGTACAACAAAACGTTTCACAAAAAGGGATGCATCTACATTCTTACGTAATAGTGAAACTGGTATAGTAGATCAAGTAATGTTAACATTAAACAGTGAAGGCTACAAATTTTGTAAAATAAGAGTACGTAGTGTCAGAATACCACAAATTGGTGACAAATTTGCCTCACGTCACGGACAAAAAGGTACATGTGGTATTCAGTATAGACAAGAAGATATGCCATTTTCATGTGAAGGTCTTACACCAGATATTATAATTAATCCTCATGCTATCCCATCACGTATGACTATTGGCCATTTAATTGAATGTATCCAGGGAAAAGTATCTGCTAATAAAGGTATATTTCAATAAATCATTAGAAATAATTTATTACAACAGCGATTAGATACATTGCATCTAAATTGTAATATACTTTTTTTATAGGTGAAATTGGTGATGCTACACCATTTAATGATGCTGTAAACGTGCAGAAAATATCTACACTTTTACAAGAATATGGTTACCAACTAAGAGGAAATGAAGTCATGTATAATGGTCATACTGGTCGTAAAATTAACGCTCAAGTGTTTTTAGGACCGACATATTATCAGCGTTTGAAACATATGGTAGACGACAAAATTCATAGTAGAGCGCGTGGACCTGTTCAGATTTTAGTTAGGCAACCTATGGAGGGAAGAGCGAGGTAAAGTGTAGTATTTCCACTATTTTTGTTTACTTTTTAAATTTTTGTATGAATGTTAATTTATTTACAGAGACGGAGGATTACGTTTCGGTGAAATGGAGCGTGATTGTCAGATTTCTCACGGAGCTGCACAATTTCTTAGGGAACGCTTATTCGAAGTTTCAGATCCATATCGTATACACATATGTAATTTCTGTGGTTTGATTGCAATAGCAAATTTGAGAAATAATACTTTCGAATGTAAAGGGTGTAAGAACAAAACACAGATTTCGCAAGTTAGATTGCCATATGCAGCGAAATTACTTTTCCAAGAACTTATGGCAATGAATATTGCCCCTCGATTAATGGTAGCATAAACATTGAATTATTTCTATGTTGCTATCCTTATAATATTATAAATAGAATGGGACTTACAATAGCAATTTCCTGAATCATACTGAAAGTTAAAGAATCGTTAGGAATTTTTATTGAAAATGATACAATCAATTATTATATAAATACTGTTGAAATGTTTATTGCAAGCCATACTTTGTCCGTTTTTTTGAATCCTTAATTTAAATGTTCAGACAGTAGAGCTTAATGTCATATANGAATCATACTGAAAGTTAAAGAATCGTTAGGAATTTTTATTGAAAATGATACAATCAATTATTATATAAATACTGTTGAAATGTTTATTGCAAGCCATACTTTGTCCGTTTTTTTGAATCCTTAATTTAAATGTTCAGACAGTAGAGCTTAATGTCATATA